CCTGCATCCATCAACTCGATCTTCAAACGCATCTTTTGCCTCTCTGCTTCCCTCTCCCTTACCTTTGTTTACAACTCTGATTATAAGACTAGGTATATGCATATATGAAGTTCCTTGTTTTGTAATGAGATACTCATACTAATAAGAAACAATTCTGCCCGTCATGTGATCCACAGACCTAATATCGGTCAACAAAATATTTGGCTACAATAGCCAAAGTGAAGTTTCCTGAGTATTCACATGTTTACGATTACTTTATCTGCAGATCATTCCCCTACTAAATTACAGGGAGCATTCAATGTGTCCTGTACCTATTTTCTATATACTAAAGATAAACCTCCATTTACGGATCTTCATAAAAATGTAACAATACTCCCTAACCATACTCTAAATTCCTCAAGTCACACTTCCAGTTGACTCAACAGCTGCTCTTCTTAGCAATGCCTCAGTCACCTGAAGGTCTTCTGCAAAACAGTTCTGAGTGCACCTTGCTAAAACAGTACAACAAGGTGTTTCAGCATTCCTCCTATTTCTTTATGTCAGTTTTCAAAATATGAAAGCCCAAGTAGTTGAAAGCCAGATAATCTCAAAATGGATCTCAGGCAGCAATAAGTTAATATATCAGAAAACTAAACTTGAATTCTGAGAAGCGTCATGCCCTGCTAGGATACGGATGATCTCATCAGCCTTTCTTAAAGCATTTCATTAGCTGTTAACTGGAACTGGGCAAGCTTACCCAATTGTTCAGGCATCCTGTTTGGATGTCTAATTTAAGAAAACTGTATTAAAGTGAACTGCAGTTAGATTTAAAAAAAAAAAAAAAAAAAAGTTTCCTCCATTTTGACTTACTGAGAGTTACCACAACTGGAACATGCACTGACATGCACTCAAAGAAGAAAAAGAAATTATTTATTAAAATTGAAGCCTCTTGGGATGTTTTCTGTATGTGTTTCACAGCTCACCTTGCTTCCCGTATTACTGTTGTGTCTTCTAGTAGGATTAACAGTCATTAAAGAACCTGAGATTAGTTGACTGTCTCTTTTATGCGTCCTCAAAGCACAAGGCTCAAGATTAGTAAGAGTAACTATAAACAATCAACAGTATTACATGAAGCATTTCTATCTGAACAGAACTAGAAGTTAAAATCAACAACTTCCAAATTAAAACTGGAATTTAGGCTGGAAAAATTCCAGTTACGCATATATGCATTCCTTATTCTTAGGCTAAGAAAAGATTATTTGTAATAGTGATCCGGGGGAAAACACACAGAACGGGAACTCCGAAGCGTAGACACCGTGGAAATGAAAAAGATTTGATTTTATAATGGTAATTATTGAGACAGCCTACTTTAAGCACTTATCATAATAGCTAAAAATAAAAAATAAAAAAAAAGGATTAATCATTCCTGTGTTCTTGTACAATGTCGCAAAGAAAGACAGAAATTGACTTCATGCTAATTTATTTGTATCTCTCTTTGAACTTTCTCAGGTTAGTATTTGCTTTCAGGTAGCCTCTTCTCCTTTTTAAGATTCTGCTACAATCTACACGTCTGGCTAATATTCGGTGGGCTTTTGGTCAGTGTGAGAATACACAGCATACCTCAGACAGGCTGGATTTCAATACTGAGGAATAAAATCCCAAACAACAGGCAGCTCTAAAAGGATCACATTCCAGAGTAAATAGCTCTCGGTTTGTAACTTATCAGTTAACTTTACCCTAAATGTTTTCCATTTAGAATTATCCTATTGTTTGTTTGCTAGTTACAATAAATATTATTGCTCAAACTATTCCATAAGTACTTAGATTTTGAGCACAACATATGAACTAAGCAATTATATAACCTTGGTTTGCAAAACAAACTGTACTAAGTTATACTTACTCTACATAGACCATTAAGCAAGTTTTAAAATATACAGCCTACATTTGCAAAAAGAAACTACGAATCTGAATGTCTTCTACACATAACTTTTAATTAAGCATCTTGTAGATTTTATTTGAAACAGAAAACTAGTAGACTATGAAATAAAGAATACCTATTTCCTGATTTTTGCACCATTTATTAAGTAATGCTTTCTCAAAATAGACAACATTTTTAAGAACTAACTTACCTAAGGATGGTGCTATCCAATATACTAGTGAATAACTCAAAAATTTCTCATAGAAACAATATGGATGTAATGAAAAAGCCAATGCTGGGTTAAATATTGCTCCTGTGAGATTTCCACCTGAAATAAAATGTAAACAACATGAATCAAACCATCTTTTTGACAAACACTTACTTTAAATGAAATACAGAAGTGTAAATTACACTGCAGATGTAAATGCAACAAAAAATGCATACCCTGCAATAAAATGCACTAGCAGAAATCATTTGAACAGATAAACCCTTAGGAACAGTTATTTACCAAATGATATGGTATGTTAAACTGGGCAACAGTTTTCTAAAACAAGCTTTTAAATATCTGAAGCATAGGCTGTAATTTTCTTTATCTATTTCTAGCAAATATTGTTTGAAGATATGGGTTTGGCTGACATTGAATGTTTCAGGTGATAAAACTGTAAGTTGCCTTGCTACTGTTTTGCTAAAAATGTCTTGCTTATCGTCTGTATCATGCTTTTAGAACGGACAGCAATCACACACGTGAGTAAATAAATATTTTGCTTCTATTACATCCCAGTGTTATACTCGCCATTTTAACACCTAACATGCATAGGATTAACAATCACTTACTGAAAGTCTTAGTTAAGTTGTTTGTTATTCTGTTCTTTGACATTTCTCTTTTTATATACTCCTTGTTATTCCTTTTACCACTACTACGGTTTGGGAAGGTTTGAGAAGGTTTTAATCTTTGTCCACTCTCTTCAATTCACTCCGATTTGGCACTTGTTCTCAGTAGCAACCCAGATTTACGGTACGCTCCGTTATTCTGCATCTTGACATATTAACAACTTCCACTGTTGCTGGGAAGGCCAGGTAGCATAATTTACTTTACTTCCATCTATCTATAAATTCACTGCTCCTACTCTTATACCCACAAAAACACATCCAATAACATAATTTCACCCTCAAGAGGCCGTTTCTGTTTCTGAATATACATTAAAAACTAGACAGTTTTACCTGCTGCATTTCTCCAATATTCACTATTAGTAACTACTAGAATATCACCCATACGCCAGGGCCACTTGTATTAACTGGTTAAAATGTTTATGTAGTATTAAATAGGTAAAAATATCCTGTGGTGGCATACTGCATTTAAAAAGTGATAGAATGGTAAAGCACGCTAGGAAATACAATGCTGAATCTCGGAGTCTGTATCCTGGAAACGATACATGATTAGATGGGAAAGGAAGTGTAACATCTTTGACACAGCAAACATAAAACTAATGTGTGTTCCAGCACAACGTGTGAGAAGAGAATTTTGATTTTAAAATTACTATAGGTAAAAGCAAAATTCCAAAAATACTTAGAATTAAAACATATATTTGACATTTTTGCCTTGACGTGGTAAGCTCAGAAACATCTAGCCTATTTCATGCAATTCTGGCTTCTTTGAAATATTGCCTGTAAATTAAAAATCCCTAAAAAGGTGAGGGTTTTTTATTCTCTAATTTTCCCAAAGGAAATCCCCCAAATTTTCCTTTACCAACATGTTTGCAGTCTGCATCCTTAGCCTCTGATATAGTCTGCTAACACTTAAAGACACAACCATCTCTTTTTCCTTCTGTCCACTAGAAGCAATGGAATGAATCTGGTATTGGAACTTTGCATACTACATGCACTTCCATAAAAACTCGGCCCGTGTAAGACTAAATAGAAAAAAAATTCCCAGTGTTTGTAACTATGAAAGAGAAAATGCAGAAGAAAAACTACAGGAACAGGTTTTAATTTTGAAAACATTTACTCTATCATCTGATGTTATTTGTTGGAATAAGTTGCATGGCAGACCTAAGTAACTTTCATGGGGTACACACAGTAGTGACCTACCAACACTTAATTTTCCCATCAGTTCAACTCGGTCAACTGTGAAAATACAATTTAATGTTTTCCAGCCCTGTATGCATATCAATCAATTTAGGTGGGTTTAAGCCATAAGGATAGGGCTGTATTTCAAAATTTTACCCAAGCCAAATTTGATATGGAGTAAGAGAAACCCCTTCTTACAGTCACTTTTTAGATAGCAATCATTCCTCTTGCAGGATATAGCTTTTAAACAGATAGTAGAACATAAACCATAGGCTGAAATACGATACATACTGTAAGAGATGTACTTTCTAACATTTCCGCTTCATAAGTGTAATAAATTTAGGTTCTAAAAGTACAATCACATTGGCTTTTAAAAACAAAGTATAAAAGGAAACCCTGAACATCAATTTTATAAGCTTAATGCATTTTTTGGAGTTCCTACCGAGAACACCAATATCTTTCAAACTGAAGCTTGAAAAATCATTATTCATACAATATTATAAACTTTGTGGTATTTTTATAAGGAAAAAGTAAGGCTGTTGCAGGTTTGTCTAACTTAGCATTGCTTTGCCTAAATTTGTTGCTGGCTGCCTAGCCCTTTGGTGTTGGGGGAGTGGAAAAAGATTCAGTCCTCTTAAAGAAACTGCTCAAGTGTCTTATAAAAAGTTAAGAAAAGAGGTGCAAAAGATTTCCTGAGAATGATCCAGTCCAGCCAAGTTAAGCATTTGGCGGTCTTCAATGACTGTATACAGAACTTTACCTGGTGGAGTCACCATCTGTAACATCTAATGCAGAAGTCTACTCTTCCTACTATCTATATGGAGCACTGATTCCCAAAGTGGGGCAAGGGAAATCTCCCCCTCAGCAAAGATGGGAATGTATCCTGGAAGAAGGTATGAAGTCCTATGAAGGAGGCTGCGGTTACTGAAAAGTATGTAGCCTCAAATACTATTGCCATCCTTCTCCTGGAAAAAAAAAAACAAAACAAAACCAACCGTGAGCTATGTGGTCCAGATAGTGCCCGTTTCACCCATGGGAGAGGAGAGGTGGAACAGATAGTGGATAAGGCTATACATGCGACCTGTGGAATATATCATATACACCAGGCACAGGCAGTGGCCATCTCCCAGGCAGCAGTTACCCAGTGACTGGGGAACGCCCCTAGCAGTTACCCAGTGGCTAGGGAACGGTGAGTGAGGCAGGATCTATAAGACATCTGTTACAGCCTCAGTTACTCTGCATGCTGTGAGGGAGATGTGCTGAGTGGGCGTGGGAAAGGGAGAAGGGTCCTGATCAGCAGCCCACAGGAGAAGGAAATATATCGTGGAGAAAGTTTGTATGTGTATGTGGGCAGAGGAGAAGACAGAGCAAGAAGAAAGGTTTGGGAACCTGTAAAACATGCTAGGTTTACCTCACCCTCCACTGAAGGAAAAAAAAAAAAAAGAAAGAAAAAAGAAAAGAAAAAAAGAGGTGTAATAGCAAAACCCTGTCACTTTATCACAGGAAGAAAGCGGTGCTCCCATACTTTTTGTGTGATAGCTCAGTGATAGGAATCTTGGGTTTTATGTCCTCCTCCAACTTGAAGAGGCTTCAATCCACATCTTAGGAGTACACACTAAACACCAGGCTCCTGACTATTGCAAGGAGAAGAATGCTCCTTTCACCCTCCTTTTTGAACTTGAGCGTATAGCAAAGAATGCAAATCTTAAGAAGCTTAGAGCAGAGTGCACAAAAAAGATTTTCCACTAATGAGTCGACAAAACCAAGTTCTAGATCTTATCCCTAGAATGCATACATATTTTATAGCAATCTTGACGCTAGATTAAAAAAATAGGAAAGAAAAACGTCCAGGTAGTACAAGACCTTCTGCGGATGATGCAGCATAGCTAGACCGTGTATGAAGTAGGCCTGGGCTCAGTAGATGTGATGTTTCCCGGAAGCATATGCAGATTAACTGCACCAGGTAGCCTTACCAAGTCCAAATACACGACTAGGAAGGGGACCTGGCATACAGGCTTCTGCTAGAAAAAGATACGAGGCCAGCCTGGCCAACAACATGGGGCATGAATTCTCTATGTGAACTAGCCAAGAGAAAGGCAATGTGACACAGATTATTTTACGTGATTATTTGCTAAGCAGCAAAGGAATGCTAATCAGGAATCCAGCTTTCTATATGTCTAGAAGAGGCACTATAATCTTTGGCCATGCTTTTACCAAGCAATTCAGGAATATACTTAGTATGCTAAAATGCACTGCTACCCTGCCTGAGCTCTCAAAAATTAATTTTAAAAAGTAGTTCAAATCACTAAGTTAGTTCTTTTAATTCTCCATGGACCTCTTCTAATCTTTTTAGTATTTCAGCTAAACATAATGGGTAAGTTTTTTTTTTTTTTTGAAACATCTGAACGTTCTAGTATAGTCTATTCTACCTTATTCCAGTATGCTAGATATCATAACATAGTTAAACCTTTTGGACAAGGAGTCAGTGACACTCTAGATGTCTCCAGATAAGGAAGTTCTCTCTCCCTCTCACAAACTGATTTGAGCATTCCCTCGGTGTTTTCCTCTGTGGTGGCAGCAGTAGCACAACCTGGTACGAGGAGCTTTGTAAACGTCTCTCTCATCTCCCTGTACCCCAACGCACAGAATCGCCTTCCCAGTACAACCCATTGCCTTTAAAGCCATTCTTAAGTGACTGCACATACATAAGAGGTCTGGAGAGAGCAAGGAGCATCAAGACACAGGGGAACAAAGTTCAGGCTGACGCCTGTACCTCTTCCTTCCCACCAGTCCAGAGAGGCTGTGCAGGTAACAGCGCCCCAGGCCTGGGAGGTAACAGGTGGGACAGAGGTGAAAGCAAGGCAGAGCTGGGCCACCCAGGGGCGTAAGATGCATGTAGATGTCATGATGTAATAGACACTTAACATTTTTTTTTTCAACGCTTGGTTTCATGCGTATTTAGAATCTATCTTTTCTTTCTGCATTCCACAAATATTCATTTCTGGTTCTGATTTAAGGATTTAACGTAGCTGACCGGCGTAAACGTCATCGATATGAATTAATGCGTTATTTAAATGTAGCGCATCCAGGTTACAGGTCTGCACACTGAAGCTGCACAATCAGTATTTCTTCCCCAATGCAGACAGCGGTGCTTTCTCACAGTGCCACCATGTAAGATCAGAGCACACTGTGGCACACCTTACATGAAATGTCTCATGCAATATGAGGTCAGATTATGAAACGATTTTTCACCGAGACATCTTAATAAGCGTTCAATAAACTTCTTAGCCATATTTACTCGTAGATCTCATATAGTTTTGAATATGCAAATCATTTCATTCTTAACCGCAAACCTGCAGTAGAATCTAATCAGGCAAACTTTCTGTAAAGGTCAAATGAACTCTGCCCACACAGCACATTTGCGGGGCCAAAGACTTTTTTTTAAATATATATACACACATATACTTGCAATCTAAGAAAAACAATTTTGCATTCTCACACTTTAAAAGAATACACAAATTGGAAATTTACAATTTGATCATTGTAACAGAGAGAGGAAAAAAAAAAAAGACTAACCTGAATACACAAGCATGGTGATGAGAAGAGCAATAAAATGGACTCTGAAGTTGGGATGAACAGCGTCCAGTTGCAGTATGGCCAGCTGGAAAACAGCAGAAAAGAGCAGCTCTATGAAAAACGCCTGCGTCTCCGTGGTTTGCAGGGGATTGCTGCAGCCCTGTGCGAGTGCTCCAGCATGCGGTTCCGCGACGCCCAGGCTCCAGACAAAGTGCATAAATCCTCTGGCCAGCACCGCAGCGACAAACTGAGCACCGATCTTGAGTCCACCCGCCTGGGCCGACATCCCATCACCCCAGATGTGCTGCAAGGTGCCGCAAGGGTTGCACGTGCTGCCAGCCAGGGTCAAGCCGTGCAGGACGGTGAAACCGTAGGTGAGGGCGAGCGCGGTATGCGGCCGAGGCTCCGCGTCGGCGAGCAGGCAGAGCTCGTTAGTGCAGGCGCAGATCTGGAAGGTGCTCAGCATCTCCAGCA